CTGACTTTCTTCTTCTATACACACTGTGACATTGAAGGGGCCTGGAAGGGTGCTGCACTCTTGTGTGGTATTCAGTAGAGAAGACTGCTCAGACATAGGTTTAGTCAAATAAAGTCTTTATTAAATGGAGGTAAACTACACTGGATGTTCAGGACCCCAGAGGAGCACTGAGCCTTTCTCAGGGTGAGATTTTTAAGCATGAGAACCATGATGTGGGTTGACATTCTTTATTTACCAAGAACAGTGAGCCAAAAGTAGAGCTACAGAAGCTGAAAAGCAACATTAGTACATTTTGAGACTTTCCCAGAACTATAAATCCTTTGATGGATTAGTCCATTAGTTTGTCAGGTTGTGCTGCTAGGTGGTGAGTTTTATATTCTGAGTGGCACTTTTATCATGGAGTCAGTTGAGTTAGGGACAGTGTGGGGACCTACTAAGTTCTATGGCCCCTTTACAGCACAAATAGCATCTATTCCTTTCCTAATTTTGTTTTACAATATTAATGTCCTTATAAATAACAATTTGTGCCTTCGCAAATATCTTTGACACACTGTAAAATCATTGCTGATAGTATTTGGTAAAAGAAATTGTCTTGAAAAATCTAACTTTCCTGTGAGTAAATTCTACCGGCATAAGATGATAACTGGACATCGGGCCTAGAATTAGGTGTTTGGTAGGGTCTACAACTTTGTTGTATTTAAAAAGAGACAAGGTCTTTTGCCCTGCCACTTGGCTTTGTTATAAAAAGATCTTTGGAGTAAACGTTAGGTCCGATGGATTAGGATCCAGGTCCTCCTGAGGCTATCCTGTATTTATGTTTCTCTCTCTCTCCCCTCTATGTTTTTATTTAAATCTCTTATCCCTCACTCCTCAAGAATACCCAAGAGGAAATTGTGGGTGCAGGTCCGCCGCACAGGTTTCATATAGATGGAAATTAGAGAACGAAGTAGGTGCTCTGTGCTCACACAGGTGGTGGTATAAGATACAAGAGTTCTGGGTACTATGTATGTATAGAGTTTTCTACCTTTAATAGTAGGATTATTTCATTTTATAAATTGTTGGTTATCCCCATTCCCTGATGAGGTCACAACTAAGGGCATCATATTTCATTATTTTTTCTTTAGAATTTCATATGTCCTTATAAAATCTCCCTCTCTCCCCATTCTACTTCCCACACATGTACCCAAAACCATAAATTCCTGAGCAATTTTTCATTTATTATTTTCAAACACTCTTTTTCATTTACTGCTTTCACATACATATGTACTTGCATGCACACACACAATAGAATCTATTTGCTGTTGCTCGGCTATTCATGTGTTTGGTGATGATCATGCAGGAATAAAAAAAATTATAAGAGGTTTCATCCTGGATAAGACCAAGTCTCCATCTCTCATGAGGGCATCACCTCTAATCGAGAGAAAGATTCCTTATATACTGTATCAATAGGATCTGCATTTGTCCTTAAAGAAATTAGGCATTATGAAATGAAGCCTTGCTCTTTAGAAAATTCTCAATTACATTTTTATTGTTAAAGAATGTGGATGTTGCAAAGCTTCCATAATATACTCGAGTACGCTGTCCATAAGAAATGCTGAAGTTGCACTAACAATACTTTTGCTTTCTGCATCAGATGTGGATCAGTGTATGAAGTGTCCAGAGGACCAGTATGCCAACAAAGAGCAGAACCACTGCCTCCGCAAAGATGTGACCTTTCTGGGCTTCGATGAACCCTTGGGGATGACTCTGTCTTGCATGGCCTTATGTTTGTCTGCATTCACGGTTATGGTTCTTGGGGTCTTTGTGAAATATCAAGACACTCCCATTGTGAAGGCCAATAACCTCACTCTCAGCTACATCCTGCTCATCTCCCTCATCTTCTGTTTCCTCTGTTCCTTGCTCTTCATTGGCCATCCAAACTCAGCTACCTGTGTCCTGCAGCAAATAACATATGGTATTTTATTCACTGTAGCTGTTTCCACTGTGTTGGCCAAGACAATTACTGTGGTTTTGGCTTTCAAAGTCACTTCTCCTGGAAGAAGGATGAAGTGGCTCCTGGTATCAGGGGTACCTAACTACATCATTCCCTTCTGCACCATCATACAAATTATTCTCTGTGCAATCTGGCTGGGAGTTTCTCCTCCCTCTGTTGACATTGATGCATACTCTGAGCATGGCTACATCATCATTGTGTGCAACAAGGGTTCAGTAACTTCTTTCTACTCTGTCTTGGGATACCTGGGCTCTCTGGCCCTGGGGAGCTTCACTGTAGCTTTTTTGGCCAGGAATCTCCCTGACACATTCAATGAAGCCAAATTCTTGACATTCAGCATGCTGTTGTTCTGCACTGTCTGGGTCACTTTTCTCCCTGTCTACCACAGCTCCAAGGGGAAGATAATGATGGCTGTGGAGGTCTTCTCCATCTTAGCCTCCAGTGCAGGCTTGCTGGGATGCATCTTTGTCCCCAAGTGCTACATCATTTTAATAAGACCAGAGAGAAATTCTCTTCAAAAGTTAAGAGAGAAATCATCTTCCAGAAATCCCATTTCATAAATTTTAGCTG